ATTTGCCAAGTGTAAAACCACTGTGATATGAAGTCCCACCCTTATACAGACCCACACTGATCTCAGCCTTCACTTCAATACAATTTACTGTATAATCCAGTGCTGCGCTTTCCTTAGGGAGCAACATCAAAGACGATTCTAATACCTTGCATTCCGGCTTTCCCTCCTGTGAGGTACCAGCTTTTTTTTTTTTGAAGTCTTTACACATTTTGTGGAAATAGGGATCCTGTGCAGCAGTCTCACAGCTTGAAGGGACGAGGGCAGCTGGTTCACTTTATCTGAGCTGGCACTGAGACAGCTGGTCTCGAACTGGGGACACAGAAGATTCCTCTTCAGAAGGGAAGATGTGGGTGGGGACGAGAGGGAGAGCACAATCTTAAACCCCGGATGTAATCTGCAACCAGGTAGCATGTCTTCCAATTCAGGGCCACTGTGTCCTCTTGAAACACAAATACCGTTACTTACAGTATCCACTCATGAACTCAATCCTCCAGATTGGCAAGAAACAGCAACTCAGGAAGACAGAAACGCTTGATTTGGCTAACACGTTTGGCAAAAGCAATTTACATGTGCACCCTTTATACAGCTGGGTATTTTACTGGAACAGTCCTGGTGCAGTACCTTACTCAAGGTTACAACAGCAGTGTCCACTGGGATTTGAACCCTCCATGTTCCACAGATGTGTGTGCAGGACCCTGATCGCTGCACACAAGCCACATCCGGTCATTCCAGGACCGACCTCTTCACGGAAAGTGTCAAAAGTTCTAAGGCAACCAGGTCTTCCCCATGGCTGGTGTACAGTATCCCCCATCGGAGGACAAAAGCCCACTACCAATGTATTAATTTCCCCATTTGCTTTAATGCCCTTGTTATTTCAGCTAAGACAAAGTCTTCAATGATGAAATGTGAAAACACCTCACTCAGAACCACTTCTACATGTACATACTGCACTGCATATGTATGGAACATACTGTATATCTGACCAGGCTCTCTGATACACTCTGGATGTTACTTTTGGCTGCCAAGCTGAGTTAGTCTGTTTCGCCTGCTGTCCCCCAAGTTGTTTTTTTGGACATTTTTCTTAGGGGTCTGGAATGGGCTTTTATTACAGCAAGCCGAGTGTAAAAGCTGATTGCCTGCCTTTATAGTACTGTATGTGTGTGTGTGCGCGCGCATGTTGTAAGCTGATTTTTTTGAAGAAGGGGGGTGGTGGTGAGAGATTGCTCTAGCCTCTGTGTTGCGGTTCAGCATGGCTCACTTCTAGTGATCTGCAGTGATTCTGCCTGTGAAATATTAATGAGGCTACAGACACCACTGCTCGCTCTATTTCTCCGACTCTCTCTCTCTCTGTCCCTCTCCTCAGCTCTCGGGCCCTAGCTTCCCTCTGTCGTCCTCCTTGCTCCGGCTCCCTTGTCCTTTCTGTCCGCGTCTGCCTCCCTCTTTTCTCCCTTGCCGTCTGCTCCTGTCCCCCTGGCCTGCGTCTTTGCCTCACTCTTCTCTCTCTCTCTGGCTCTCCCTCGGCTCGGCTGCTTTTGCGACCTCCTCCAGTTCTCTCCCCCCCCGCCCCCCGCTGCCTCCGTCCCTCTCTCTCAATCTGTGCCTGTCTGGTTCTGCACGCTCTCTCTCAATCTGTTCCTCTGTGCTCAAGCCTTCTCTCGTTCCCTGTTCTTCTCTTTCTCTTTATTGTATGTCTCTCTTGTCTTTTCTCAAACCCATTTGTCTCTTTCTGAGCCTCTGTCAGCGAACACTGGCTTCTCTTTTCCCTATACTACAATAAACTATAAAGTATATGCATGGTACATGCCATTTTCTGTATTCAGAAAGTATACTTTTATTAATTTATTTGCTTGCCCATCAGACAGCCTCGTTCTTCCTTAATTTTACAAAATGCAGGTGACAGACTAAAACACAAGAAAAAATGCAATCATGTGATGTTAACAGCTTTTTAATAACCTCCTGTTTTCTAAGGTGTAGTGGCTGTACAAGGAATGAGTTTTAAAAACGCTTTTATGTCTGTTTCAGCCTGTGCTTTCACATGCCGTGATGCTATGGCAACATATTGCACTGAAAGTCAAATTTAGAAGCATTTGCAAGTAGGCAAATACATCTGTCTGTTAAACAGGGTTTGAACACCCTCGGTGAGATGGCAGCTGCAGTTTGTTAGATGTCTGGAATAGCACTCCCAAAGACAAAAATCGGAACATGTCCAGCACACTTGTTGCATTAAAACAATAAAAAAAAACCATCCTGCTGCATATCGAGCGCTGTTACCTTACCTTAGAGTGAGTGGTAAATATTTAAACATTTAATAATCTGTGAGACCAACATAAGACTGCCTCTTTGAAAATACACCTAAGAATGAATTAATTGATATACAAAAATCTCAGAACCTTTTTGATTAAAACAAGGACAATGAGAAATTTTATGTTTTATTTTTAAAGCAATTTGCCCAGAGGTTGCCCAGCAAAAAAACAATATTAAATCAGGAAAAGAGGAATAACCCATATGCGAACTGTAGCACATGACTGCATTTTAAGAGTGTAGCTAGCTGCAAATTCTTGTGAAGGCGTCTGTGACTGTCGGCCGGTGTCACTCTGTGGGCTGCAGAAGACCCGCAGTGCCGGAGATGCAGTTCTGCTGCAATCCGAGCTGCAGACTGTTTTTGCAGGGGAGCTCGGTTGGCTTCCTGGAAGGCCGCCTGGCTTTCCTTTCCACCCTAACCCCTCGCTCTTTTAATTGGTCTAATTACCTTATTAACGGGAAGAACGCCACTTTGATCCAGGCCTGGAGAAGATTTCAAGCCACTGCACCGTGAACACAAACGTGCCTTTTACAGCAGTGACTTTAAAGGACCTTGGCCAATTATTAACTATGGCAGGTCGCGGCAATAATAGGCAAATTCAAGTTAAAAGGAAAAACCTTCTGTTGACATGCACACAAGGAGACCCCTCAGACCCTACTGTATGTAAATTCCCTGTCACTAAAGACATGAGTCTAGTCCAGCTAAGTAAGAATCATTTCCATTAACCCTTTCATGGCTGGCTAATACAAAAATGCTTTCTCTTCAATAGTAGATAGTATACAAGAGGCTATCTTCCTGTCTGGGGATGCTTATGTAAAGTGATGGCCTATCAGGGCTTGGCTTTCCCTGTCACACCAAGCTTCCCTGCCACACTCCAGAAACTACAGAGGCCAAAACACACCACCCACCACACAGCAGCTTACAACATTACCATTCTCAGCTTTATGACTCCAATGTATATTCGTATCTACAGTAGATGTGGCAGGCAGCATGGTGGCGCAGTGATTAGCAGTGCTGGTGCCCTGGGTTCATTTCTGGACCTGGGGTGCTGTCTGGGTGGAGATCGTATGTGTGTTCCTGTGGGTTTCCTATAGGTACTTCAGTTCCTCCCATAGTCCAAAGACATGCTGGTACTGTATGTAATTGGCTTCTGGAAAAATTGGCCCTGGTGTGGGTGTGTGTGTGTGTCCTGTGATGGACTACTGCATCACTCAACTAATTATGTGACTTGTCTAAAGATATTAGTAGACTTACGCACCTCAATTAGTTTACTTTTGCCATGGAAAACGGGTTTAAATGCTTTATGCATTTAATTTGTTTTTTTTTCTTTATATTTTTTTCTGGCATTTACCCAGTACTATTTAATAATGTGTACTGTATATGTCACTCATAAACAGCTAAATAAAATGGGAAAGCATAGAAAGGGTGTGAATACAGTACCTGCACATGGCATTCATCATATTGGTTTTCTTGTAGCATTGTTTGTCAGCATGAGCTGTGAGGAAGATAGTTCATAGGTCTACAGGTCCTGTATTAAAAAACATCAGAGGAACAATTTGATTAGGACCTTGATCTGGTGGGTTTACTTCTTGCTAAACTGCTTGCTAACAGTCTTCATTTGGTGATTTACATTATGTGTCAAATGTACAAAAATCTATGAACACTGAAAGGAGATGAAGGCATCTTCGTCTGTTAGGCAGCTTGAACAACATTTTTTCGTCTCTTTGAGAGCTGCAAGTTTAAAAAAATTAAAAATTGTGCTGCAGTACCCTTGTGTTAAACCAATAAATCATGGGTGTTCTGGTAAAGGTTAGGGAACTGAATAAATGGCTGTAATTAAAACAGGTGCAATTACATTGTTATCACTTGAATTATATTATTCTCACATTTTGTTATGCATTACCATTGCTGAAAAGGCTCATCCAAGCTACTTATGTAAAGCAATTGAACTTGGCTGCAATTAATACCTTTCCCTCATGGTGTGGTGAAGAAACTACCTCCCCTGAAATCCTTTTAAAAGGGAGGCACAGCAACAGCAGAATAAAAACTGAGGTGTTCTTAATATGACAGCTGTGAGGAAGGTTGCAGGTTCAAATCCCGTGGGGTTTCTGTTGTGTTGTTGATCATGTAACTTTGGCCAACTAAACGCAGCTATACAAATTCTGGCATAATATGTATGGAAGAAAAAAACAGGTACAGCCATGTCCTGGTATACTTTGGAGATGCATTCTAAAAAATTGAACCATATAGCGAATCAAAAAATGACATAGCAATTTTCCCCCATAAGGATTAATGGAAAAGAGGGGGGTTAGGTACTGGGACACAGAAATACAGTCAACACACTGGCATAAAGAATGTTGGTCCATTCATTATTTTCCTTTATTCAGTAGCAGTGTACAAAATGAAAGTTGTTGATGAATGAATGTTTATATTTTTGCTTCACACGATTTGTTTCATGGATAGTTAAAGGCATGACACTATAAATAACAATTTACCCTTCTGATTACATGGCATATTTCTGATTATAGTGTGGTAATTGACATATGTAGTGTGTTCAAGTACTACAGTACCCCATTCCAGTCTGTGCCCACTTACTGACCAAGAGCCCAAACCCGTGAACGCGTGTATCCGTGGCGACCGGTGCTCTGGGCTCTCCAGGCACTGAACTGTTGTTGCTGTTGTCTGCGTTCTCTCCCAGGTTTCCTCGGAGCAGCGGAGACACCAGATGTGCTAGTCCCTGACAATTGACCCCCCAGCACCCCCCTCCCTGACCCCCTCCCTCCCTCCCACCGCAGACTGCCACCGCGCGCCCTCTCCTGACGCCCGCCCCCTGATGGATTGGGACCGCAACGGCCAGCTGGCAGACGGCGACCGACTCACCTGTTGACCCCTGGGGGAGAACACGAGAGACTCCCCACCCTTGAGAAGAAGACAATCCCAAACCGCTGAAGTTTTTTTTTCTTTTAAAAACAACAACAACAACAACAACAACTAAAACTCTCACACACACACCCTACCCAAAGGCACCTCTCGTCCCATGGATCAGTGAGAGACGCGGGACCAGGCGAGAAACACGAGCGAAACAACAACACCGCCGCCATCTTGCAGTGGTCAGAGGCAGGGGGTCTGGACCAGCGACTCGTTGAGATCTGCCGCTCGGAAGAACAGGGGGCACAGCTGCCATGGGGGATCTAGCCAACAGCGCAGTGGAGTTTTACCCCAAAAACCAGCGGGGCAGCAGCGCCGGGGCAGGAGGGGGCAGCGATGCCAACCACACGGGGGGGTTTGGCGCAACCCTGGAGGAGCTGAGGACCTTAATGGAACTGCGGGGCGGGGAGGCTTTGCAGAAGATCCAGGACAGTTACGGCGACGTTGGTGGGCTCTGTCGCCGGTTGAAGACCTCCCCCAATGAAGGTAAGCCCCTCCTGACATCAGTCGGTACTTAAGGCTGCAAAAGGCTGATTCAGTCACTTGGATTGGGGTTCCTCGGAGGAGGTAAAACACGTTTTCAGGGAGCGCAAGCTCAGGCACCGAGTGTACCTGTGTATGGTTCTAATTGTGATGTCAAAAGGAAAGACATGTCCATTTAGAAAAAAAAAAGCTTTTTCAATTGATCAGTACCCAGTAACGTTTATTGCTTCCATTGGCTGCTACCTAATCAATGCAAAGGTTTGCCTGTGTCATTCTGAGTCCCTTGCAGGAAACAGAATAAGGATGATGAGTAATGTTCTCATATATCCCTAATACATGTGCATCCCTCCTAATTACATTATAGATAGGAGACATAGGTACCGGACAAAGAGCTAAGAAGATCCTACCCTCTGGTGAGAATAATCATGCTGCTGTAATTGCAATCTGCTGTATTCAAGGGTCATTTTGCAAAATGCATTGCATGGATCAAAATGCCAGATCAAAAAGAGCTTCCCTCCATTTTTCCCCACAACATTTCTGTAAAGGTGTAGCCTTCTGCATGTCAGTTTGTGTCAGGCCATACATTATGCGTGAGGGGGAGCTACCAGTGATTGATTTCTAAGTGATGCTTTGTTTGTTCTCATTACACTGTGCACCTGTGTTATCTCTCCATCATATATACTGTAGTTAACAAGGAGGATCTAAATACACATACACGGGGACAGCCAATTATGTAGAGTGAGACAAAACTTCAGCATTAACCTTCACAAAACACAGGAGGAGGAGAAAGGAGCTGACAAAGGAATAATCTTGATAAACCCCAAAAAACCTGAAATGTTTGAAACAGAACTGATCTTACTTTCACTATACTCCCATAAATGCTCAGTTGGAGCACTGACGTATGGTATTACAATGTACTGAATGAAATAAAAAAATACATTTCATTTTTTGTAATGCTTTTCACCACTACTCAAGAGACTGTGCCTCTTTTGTGACTCCTCAGCCCAACGTCCTGTCTCATGCTTGAATTTCTGAAGCACAGCAGTCCAGTGAATGATGGAGATGCGCTGTCTCTGCTAGAGCATAGTAGATCAGAAAGAACAGCTTCCTTGATGCATTGAGGCAGGACTGTAAGAAGTCGACTGGAAAGACATATCTACATTTTCCCGATCTGTGAACACTGTTCTTTATTTACCTTTCTTACCACAGCTGAGACAGTATCTTGCTATTCACCAGTCACTGGATGGTCTGTATAATTATGCACCATTCTTGAAAAGCGTTCATCACATCACATCAAATACTTAACTGCTTTTCGCATTCTAAAATAACAGAACCGTTGAATATACAGTAGGAGTTGAGTGCTCCAATGTCATTGGTGAAGAACATCTATTACATGTATATATGGCAGTGCTGCTGAAACTCTAGACCTCCATTCCTCTTAACTAGATAAGCAACTGATGCTGAACACAAGTCAATGGATTCAAAGATACTGTACAAGGTTAAAGTCTTGCTTGGAGCCTGATTTTAGCCATTTCTTCTTTTAATTGATATCCGTTTCCGCAAAGCTAACTACCTGTCTTTTCTTCACTGCATGGTTCTGGGTATGGAGTCATAAGACCCTAATTCTAAAGACCAAAGTGTGCTCCAAGGACTCAAGCTCCTGTTCTGGGTGGTACACACAGGAACCAGTGGGTTCTTTAACCTGTCAGATAGAATGGGTCCCCCATCCCTTTGTGATACAAAAACCTCCAAGTGTCCCCATACATTCTTTTTTTTTGGGTGGGGGAGGGGGGGTTCCTTTCCTCAGGATCATACTGAAATTAGCAGTGTTACACTTTCTGGCCCCTTGGCCTTGTTGCTTGCGCTTCTGTATGAAACGGTGCGCTCCAAACTCCAATCCATTGTTTCCTACCTCCAGGTGGATTAAAAAAACAAAATCTCCCGGATTAATGAGAGGATTTTTTCCCACCCTCCCTCTCACTTGGTGTACGGAGAAAGAGGACGGGCCGTGGATTACTAAAATCCACAGATTTCTCTGCTAAGCTGATTGCGCTGCAGCGAGTGGGCACTCTCCGTCTCTTGCGATCACGCTCTGTCTCCGTGCACGGCTGCGGTGAACTGGTCTGGGGCTGGTCAGGGCTGTCATTTCCTGCACCAGGCTTTGCAGGGCTGCTGGAGAAGCCACGCTCCCCTCGAGATTCCCGGAGGAGGACAAGAGGGGTCATGCAGTGCGAGAAACAAAGGAGACGGGAATCCGAAGATGGTTTTCCCGCGACTGATGAGCACAGCCGTCTGCTTTTTCTGTTCCCCGTGTTATTTGTAAGGAATTGTTAAGGAATCTGGACTTCTGCCCGCACGCCGAATTATGACTTTTCCAACAGCAGAATGTTCTCTGTAGTTCACCACACATAAGGACGGCAGCGTTTCCTGTTTGTTTTCAAGGTCCTTCCTTGGTTACATAGAAGAGCAACAGGTGTAAGAATGTAAAATTCCTTTATTGATTTTTTTTCCCGATATGTTTCCAAATATCTCCGTGCTAATCTGGGCGATCGAGGATTTATTGTCCGTGAGCAGATCTAGGAAAGCAAACTGTATTGCGAAACCCTGATTGCGCATGATGCTGTGCATGAAAAGGAGATGAAAGAAATCTCTCTAAAATGGTCTGCCATTGGGACTTCAGTGAAACGGATCCCTCGCCTTAAACAATTTAAAAATTCTGATCCGTTTTATTAGCCCGTGGACATAGCGTAATGTACTAATGGTCTGCAGTGACAGCTCACGCTCCGTAAGATAATTAAATGTACTGTAGGGAATAAGCAGTGTGTGTTCTGGGCACTAAAATGTGCACTAGCTATAAATGCGAAAGTTTAATCAACAATATGGCAGATGATAAACAATTTTCAAAAAGCTTTAAAAGTTGTTGAAAGACATTTAAGTTATATAGTTACTTGTACATGTGTGGTGAAGCAAACCGTCAACTTTAACTTTTAACTTTTCCCAGAGAGCACTACAGGAAGCTAAAACCTATCCTGAAAGCACAGGGTGTCAGGCAGGTCTGAAAGCACATGACTGCTTTCATTTGGATGGGACAGCAGTTGTGGTGCCACAGAGAAAGACGAATTAGAATAGCCCATCTCTGAGTAGTAGGAGGAATCCGGAGTGTGTGGAGAAAACCCACACAAACTTGGGGAGAACATGCAAACTCCACACAGACAGACGGACAAGGCTGGATTGGAACCTATGAGCTGTGAGGCAGTCCTGCCGTGCTAACAGCTACTGTATATCACTACGTCACCCTAGAGAAAACATCTCATATTTAAAAAAACAACTGTAAATGTGTAATAGTTCCATTCCAAAATTCTGTGTTTTCTGCAGTGCATATAAATTAGACAGGCTCTAATTAGATCCTGCCACATTTCAATTCTTGTGGGACATCTCAGAGCTGCAGAACATATTGAAAGAGTTGCCTATATTCTTCTGCATTTCTCTCTTATCGGTTTCCCTCTGGAGTTTGGACTGGCCCGTTTTTGTCTCTGTGCTACAGGACATGTCTGATGTACTGTACTTTATTGTGCAGTTGTTTGCGTTTTGCTTCATCGCAAACATGGGCCTAAAAATAGCCACACAATAAAAAGTTACTTTGATGCTTGATTGAAGCCCTGCGTTCTATTTTTAAAAACAGTCTGGCTTAAAATTGTCACTGAAATTCACTCAGAGTGTACCTGCACAGAATAAGAATCTGTCAAAGCCTCCTTCGAGAGATGTGCACTCATTATTTTTCATTAGAAGCACTAACTTAAAAAAATATCTTTCATAACTGAATACCACCCATATTGTCCTTACTGTCCTTCAAAAGCAGACTCTGGAATGGTGCTTTAAGTTTCTCTTGTCATTACATCTATATATTACGGTTCAAATTATAAGTGTTACTTCATCATTTATCTGTGTATACTGTATGCACTGTACTGTTTGTACAAAGATATATAATCATGTCATCTCTTCTAAAATTGTGCATATATCATTCATTTTCCTTTTAAAAAACAAATTATAATTTCACAAATTGGCTAACGTGCTAAGAAGGAACAATTTCTTGGTTCCAAAAACATAGCTCCTTATCGATCTCTTTCTAATTCACAATACTACAAAATGCAGAAAACCCAGTGCTGTTACCAAAGACATACAAGTATATCCATAATTCTTCCTCTATCCCACAATTCTTGTAGTCAACTAAATGAAATGGCAAAGGTCACGGAAACAAACAGAGAGCAGCAGCCTCTGATGTTTCAGGTCTGTAAAACACAGTCTCACACATTCAGTTTTCTTAAAACACAGACTGAAATTTATGTCATAGGTTTTTGTTTGCTTAAAATATTTGGACTTCCCTACAATCTAGAGTATTTCTCTTCACATTTTGGTGAAGAACAATTATTTCTCCATTTTAACCCACCGATACATACAGTAGGCACTGCATTGCGTTACTCAATGATTCTTATTAATCCTTGTACATTGGCTGGCAGAAAATTCTCACTGGAGACTATAAAGTGATAAACTGAAATAAAAGTTCTTCCTAACAGTTTGCTATCCCTGTTTGGAGGATTGGCTACCAATCTCTGTCTCTTTAATTCTTTGACATAGTTCATGTTTTACAGACAGAATTATTCTAAAAATTAGAAAGATAAATTTGGGTTTTGGCTATGATGTAAGTTTGTCATTCCTCACTATAGTGAAGGATGTAAGAATACTGTATAAGAACGGATACAAAGAGGGGTGCCTATTCAGTCCATCCAGTCTGTTTGGTACCTGGTTGCAGTTTGAAATATTAACTTCGCACAAAGTGCCGTCTCTTGGGCCATAAGGGCTCTAATAAAAATTGCTTACAGTTATATAGCGCTTTTCTGGACACTCCACTCAAAGCGCTTTACAGGTAATGGGGACTCCCCTCCACCACCACCACCAATGTGCAGCATCTGCCTGGATGATGCGACGGCAGCCATAGTGCGCCA